TCTCTCTCTCTCTCTTTCCTTCTTTCTTTTCTCTTTGTTGCACTGCTGCAATAAAGATCTTTTGGTTGCTCCGAGTGTTGTGGTCACTTTCCTTTCACCCCTGCCTACCAAAAATTGGACTGGCCTCTGTACCTTGGTCTTCCTCAATCCTCAAATTGACATTTTACCTAACAACCAAAGTTTCCCTGTCCCAATTACAGTGAACATAAGTGAGCCCTTCCATTTCCTCCCTTACTCCTAGGGATATCTGCTGGGATAGGCACCGGAGCAGGAGGATAGGGAGCCTCAACTCATTACTATGTAAAGTCATCAGAACAGGTTATCCAGACATCCAACAGGTTGCCGACTTTGTACTGATTTTACAAAATCAACTGAACTCCCTGACACCTGTTGTCTTGCAAAACTGGTTCAGGAAGAATGCAGTTTCTATGAAAACCAATCAGAAGTGGTAAGAGACAGCTCCAGGACCATCTGGAATAGCAAAGACGAGATCCAGCTGATTTTGGTCGTCCTTATTGGGGGAATCTAAAATGATGGACCTCCTGGTTATTCCCCCTTAATATTCATCTTTCTCATAATAAGCTTTCTTCTCTGTATTCTTGATTTTATACAGAAACAGTTTCAATGTAAGGTGACCTGTTTAGCTCAAACCGCCTCCCAGGAATGCGTCAAAGCCGTTCTCCTGTGCTCACAATCTGATTCCCTGAAACCACAAAAAGGGGGACTTCCTCTAAGATGACCTGAGGCTTCTTCCATATACACCTCTCTTCAGCCTCTACCACTGGGGTCTCTGTCTTCTCTCCCAGAACTCTGAGAGTCCCTGACACTACTCCTTCTCAGCAGGATGCAGCCGGATGTGATATAGATGCCCTTATTCATTATCTCTGTTCAGAGTCTGGAAAGGAGGATATGGAAAACTACAACCCCCAGGGAGAAAAGAAAACAATGGGTTCAAGGGAAAGAAGGAAGACAACTGTGCTCTGGACTTTCACAGTTTCCTGTTCTACAACTGTTTCCCTGACTGCCCAACCCACACCCTCTGCTGTGATTAAGTCTAACTAAACCCTATCAAACTTAGACCCCTGTTGTAACCAGTTGCCATCTTTCTCCTAAAAATGGGCCCTTCTACTGCTTAATAAAGCATCACTGATCCACCAAGGTCTGTCCCTGTTCCTTTTATCTTTGCTTTCATTCAGTGGTTTGGACTTTGATAGGAAATGGAGAAGCACTGATAGGTATATGCAGAAACTTTACACACATTTACCATCCTCTGGGTCTTGTACTATGAGGTTGATATTTACTACCTTTAATCCACAGCAAGAATTGATATTTACTATCTTTAATCCACAGCAAGAAAATCTATGAAGTAGGCAGCATTATGATTTCCATTGTAAACATGAGGGAAGGGAGGCACAGAGGGGTCAAGTAACTCACCATGAGTCACAAAGGTAGTTAGGAGCATTGCACAATACCCTGCTTCCTGCCACAGTGACCACGTCAGAAGTGATGTGAGTTCACAGAACTAAATGTCTGAGTCTAGAACTCACACCTCACTGGTTTTTCCCTGGTGATGTGTAAATACTATTTTTACCTGAAAGAACTGTTGAAGCAGAAAGGGCAGTAACACTTTGGGAATCTTCCCTGTTGGCGCTCTTTGATGCCTCTGTGTGGTTCTACAGAATAAGACTGCTCGTCTGGTTCACAAACTTCAGAGTGTAGTGGAGCAAAATGTCCTTTTATTTAAAAACATAAAAATTGTACATATTAAGGGGGTACCAGGTGATGTTTTAATACATTTTATATGTTTGATGTAATGTTTAAACCAAGGTAAATAGTTCTTTCTCCTATTTATCATTTATGTTGAAAATTCTCAAAATCCTTTCTTCTTGCCTTTGAAATGTATGGTGCGTTATCTGTTATCTGATGCTAGCCAGGTTCAAAGCCTGGTTCTGCCTTTTTTGCTTTTATGTCTCTGACCAGTGACTCAGTTTTTATCTATCTAATTTCTGACTGAGTGACACCTGCCTCATAGAATTTCATAAAGATTAGATGAGTTAATATACACATAAGATCCCCGGCACAGGGAAAGCAGCATTGCTGTGGTCTGAATGACTGTGACCTCCAAATTCACATGTTCAAATGGAATCTTCCATGCAATAGCATTGCAAAAGGCAGGGCCTCTGGGAGGTGATCAGTTCCCAAGGGCTCTGTTTTCATGAATGGGATTAGTGCTCTTTTAAACAGGGTTGAGGGAGTTGGTTCACTCCTCCTGCCATGAGAGGACATATAGAAAGGTGCTCTCTACAATGAAGGGATCCTCACCAAATCTGCTAGTGCCTAGATTTTGGACTCCCTAGCTTCCTGAATAATGAGCACCAAGTTTCTATTGTCTATAAATTACCCAGTCAAAGGTATTTTTTCAGAGCAGTCCAAACCAGCTAAGATAAGCATTCACTGTTACTCTTATTATTTTTGTTATTTTGATTCTCATACTTATACTGGCACTATTCAAAGATACTAAAGGTCCTAAGGGTCAGACAATATTTATTGAGTACATAAATAGGTGTGATATAAGTAAATTAGGACTCATAGTTCCTGCAAATACTTCCTGTGATGTGAATGCAAGAAAGTATAATGTCTGTCTTCAAGACTCTCATGACTCAGATGGACCTACTTATACACCTTGTTTACAGCTACTGTGCAAGTATTTTCTCATTTAACTAATTATTATTTTTTTAAAAAATTTTTTGGTTGTAGTTGGACACAATACCTCTCTTATTTATTTTTATGGGGTGCTGAGGATCGAACCCAGGGCCTTGCACGAGCTAGGCGAGTGCTCTACCACTAAGCCACAACCCCAGCCCCTTAAGTAATTATTCTTTTTTTTATATTTTTTTAAAGAGAGAGTGAGAGAGGAGAGAGAGAGAGAGAGAGACAGAGAGAGAGAGAGAGAGAGAGAGAGAGAGAATTTTAATATTTATTTTTTAGTTCTCGGCGGACACAACATCTTTGTTGGTATGTGGTGCTGAGGATCGAACTCGGGCCCCACGCATGCCAGGCGAGCACGCTACCGCTTGAGCCACATTCCTAGCCCCAAGTAATTATTCTTTATGGTGTGAGCCACTGTTTATTTTTATTTGAACCCCTCACCCCGTCTCCCCTGCATTTAATAGACTGTATATAGTAAGTCTCCAGTAAATTGGGTTGAATGTTCATGGAGCAAATGAAGAACAAATGCACAGGAGCATACACTAGTGCTAGGTCCCACCTGGCCTGCTGATACCCCCTGCCCTCATGCTGACATCCCCATCCTTTCATTTAAAAAACAAACATTAGCCAGGTGTGGTGGCATGTACCTGTAATCCCAGTGGCTCAGGAGGCTGAGGTAGGAGGATCGTGAGTTCAAAGCCAGCCTCAGCAACTCAGTAAGACCCTGTCTCTAAATAAAATACAAAAAAAAAAAAAAGAAAAAGAAAGAAAGAAAAGGGCTGACTCTGTGGTTGAGTGCCCATGAGTTCAATCCCTGCACCCTTCCCACAAAATAACATGGAAACATTTACAAAACATAAATTTAATGATTTAAAGTGGATGATTGAGTGGTATTTGGTACTTCCACAATACTGTGCAACCACTACTGCTACTCCATTCCAGAACATTCTCATTATCCCCCAAAACAATTCCTGTGCCTGTGAAGACATTGCTCCCTATTCCTCACTCCCTTCTTAAAAGATTTTTCCTTCCATCTGACCTACTTCCAGAGTCGGCTCTCCAACTGTCATGGTTAACTTTCAAGCACCTCGTTTTCAGGTACCTTTCTCTCTGAGCACTCCTACAAAGCTCTGGATAGGTCCCCTGTCCTCACATGTCCCTCTCAGCATCAAGCTTCCAGCCCACTGTCCCTACCAAACGACATACTCCGCCCTGTCCTTCTATCTCCTTTTACCCACCATCAGGTCTTTTTTCTTGTTTAAACATGTTGCTCGTAAACACTTTTTTTAAGGTGCTGGGTTCTGTGAACTTTCCTAACGCTCTTCCCTTTCATCTCCTCTGCACCTGCCCCTGCCCCAACCACAACCTGCGATTCTTGGCCCTCAGTACCCTCCACTTCATTGTCAGGTTCATAAGTTGGCCCCCATCAGTGAGGGACACTGTGCTTTTTTCTCAAACCTTCCACATCACACAGACTCTCTCTCCTCCATTTACTTCCAGCTGAGTGCCCAGCTTAGGAAACAGGAGTGACCCATCAAATTCCTCACCTTTCTACCATGAAATGGCCAGTCCTTGCAGTGATATTCTAGGCCTTCTTTCTTGTTCACCAAGAGAGGTTTCCTGCTCCTACAGAATATCAGATCCTCAAAGAGAAATCAGTCTGAGTCTCTGCTTGTCTTGCTTTCTCAGGGATTTAGAACCTGCTATATATTTTTCATATGTATGTATGTATATATATAAAATGTACACATATAAATACTACTCATAGGCTATATGATTGGTATATAGATTATTAATGTTATATATATTATGTATATTATTATATATATTACTACTCATAGGATGTCAGAAGTCCTCCAAGCATTTTCTATAGCCCATCATAGCAAGGAAGCAGCAGAATGGATTACCCTGGGCTAAGGGATATATAAAGGAAGCAAGGCAGATCATTTTCTAGAGGGCCCTAC